CCTTGTTCTGGTTGAACAACTACCTCTTGGTCTATGCACAGGTTCCTCATGAGCACCATGAAGTGTTCTGAAATCCTCATTCTACTCAATGCTACCCACACTTATGATCCACATAGTCCTAGCATAGTCTTTGTAACCAGGTTCACATCTCTCTGGTTTTCTCTGCTTTCAGCCAAGGTTCATCTAAATATCTGCAGTGATATCCTTCATTCAAATCTTCTTCTGAATCAGGTGGGAATTTCTGGCATCTTCCTGCTGATATACTGCTGCAACCATTTTTGAACTCTCTTCAGCAAAATTTTATTTGTGTATGATATTAATGGTATTGTTTGATGATTTTGACATTGTGGCGGCTCACCTTTCTTTGTAATGGGCACAAATATGGATTTCTCTCAGTGGTTGCCTAAGTAGGGCAGTATGACACACTCAAGGCCTAGAGGAATGGCCCTCTCCCCCAAATTGGGAAAGAATGAATCTACCTTATGAGTCCAATACTCGTCTGTCAGTTTGTCTTACTGTGGTAGCTTGCATGTTGCTGTGATGTTGGAAGCTATGCCACTGGCATGTTAAATACCAGGAGGGTCACCCATGGTGGACAGGTGTCGGCTGAGCTTCCAGACAAAGCCACTGAAAAGCCTGTGACTAGCAGTGGGACACTGTCCGCACCACAATATCGAATGTTGAGACATGATGAATAACATCAGAATATTGTCGGATATGGAGTCCTGGTGTAGCACTATGAGTTAATGTGCTCGACTGCCAAGTCGGTTTGAATCACAAGGTCGGCAGTTCAAGCTCACCAGCCGCTTCTTGGAAACCCTATACAGGGTCACTGCGAGTCAGAACGGACTCTACAGCACTTAACAACAACAACCACCACAACATTCTCAGATATAATATCAGAAGATGAGCCCTCTACGTCGGAACTCACTATATGTATAATTGGGAAGAGCTGCCTTCTCAAAGTAGACTTGACTATAATGAGGTGAATGGAGTAGAGCTTTTGGGACCTTCATTGGCTGATGGCGCACAACTCAAAAAAAGGAGAAACAGCTGTAAACATCCATTAATAATTAGAACATGGAATGTACGAAGTATGAATCTAGGAAAATTGGAAATTGTCAAAAATGACATGGAACGCATGAACATCGATGTCCTAGGCATTAGTGAGCGGAAATGGACCTGTATTGGCCATTTTGAATGTGACTACCGTATGGTTACAAGTCGGGCTGCTAACCTCAAGGTCGGCAGTTCGAAACTACCAGCCGTTCCGTGGGAGAAAGATGAGGCTTTCTGCTCCCGTAAAGATTCACAGCCTCGGAAACCCTGTGCAGGGTCACTATGAGTCGAAACCGACTCCACGGTACTTAACAACAATATCCTGTGGTTTACTATACTGGAAAGGACAAATCGAAGAGGAATGGCGTCACATTCACCATCAAAAAGAACATTTCAAGATCTAAAAGTATAATGCTGTCTGTGATAGGATAACATCCATACACGCCTACAAGGAAAACCAATTAATATCCCTATTATTCAAATTTTCACACCAACCACTAAAGCAGGTGATGAGGAAATTGAAAAATTCTACCAACTTCTTTAGTCTGAAATTAATCACACATGCAGTCCAGATGTATTGATACTTACTGGCGATTGGAATGCAAAGGTTGGAAATAAAGAGGAAGGATTAGTAGTTGAAAAATACTAACATTGTGATAGAAATGATGCTGGAGATTGCACGATAGAATTTTGCAGGACCAATGACTTCTTCCTTGAAAGTACTTTTTCTAAACAGCATAAAAGATGACTATAACATGAACCTCACATATAGAATATACAGAAATAAAAATAAGTACATCTGTGGGAAGAGATGATAGAAAAGCTCCATATCATCAGCTAAATCTGTGGAACAGATTATCAATTGCTCATATGCAAGTTCAGGCTGAAGCTGGAGAAAATGAAAATGAGTCCACGAGAATCATAATTTAACATGATTGTTGAACATATCCCACCTGAATTTAGAGATCATCTGAAGAACAGATTTGATGCATTAGAAACTAAAGACCAAAGAGCAGAAGAAGTGTGGGATGACATCAAGGACATCATACAGGATGTAAAAGGTCTTTCAAAAGACAAAGAAGACGACAAAATGAACGTCAGAAGAGACTCTGAAACTTGCTTTGCAGTATGTTGTTGTTGTTAAATACCATCGAGTTGGTTCTGACTCATAGCGATCCTGTATAGGAGTTACAAGGAGTGGCTGGTAGGTTTGAACTGCCGACCTTGCAGCTCAAATTGACCTTGCTGTCCAGCGTGTTATCCTGCAGTACCACACCATTTGCTAAAACCAATGGATGAAATGAAGAGGTCCAAGAGCTGAACTTTCAAAGGGCAGCTCTAGAGGTCAGAGTCAAATATTATAATAACATGTGAAAAGACCTGGAATTCTAACCAAAAGCGAAGAAGACAGTTATCATTTCTCAAACTGAAAGAACTAAGGAAAAATTCAAGCCTTAACTTGCAGTAATGAAGAATTAATCTGAGTTGGAAGCTACTCAGCGACACATTAACAACTACCATAGGTTACAGCCTCAGCATACAAATGGTTGTCAACATCTCCCAAAGTCTCAAGGACCTTGGAGAAGCAAAGGTCATTCCAGCAGAGAAGATTCCATCCCTGGAATCACTTTGTCAGGCATGAACCCCATGGATGAGTTACTTTTCTGGAAGACTCCTGCTTTTTACTAGCCCAGGGCCCAGCTCGGTCACTTGCTGGAGCTCTGGATGCGTCCCTGTTTTAAAAATCAAGTGTGCTAAATTTCATTGTTTTAATTTCAGATTTGAAAAAGTGCTTTCATGCTGTAGTTCCCAGTGGGCAGGAAATCTGGCCTGGACCACCTAGGGGAAATGAGCCCCTAGCCCTGGCTGAGCTGGAGTGAGAGCAACATCCATTGGCCTGGTTCTCACTGCATAATCCAATCTTTCAAGGGTCTCTCCCCCTGGAGATGCAGGGGGCTGAGTAACTAATCAGACAGACACACTAATCCTGCTTTCCTGAGGCTGACAGGTTAACCCTTTGCCTTCTGTTTCCATGTGGGCTGTGGCTGAATTGTCAAACACACACTTGGTTTTGTACCCTTGGTGAGAGCTCCCAGGATTATCAGAGCTGATGCTGCTTGGTTTCCTGGACCTACCACGTGTCTGGCACATTTCTAAGTGCTTTGGTTCATTCTATGAAGTGGGTTGTTTCCCTGGAGGGTACAAAGGGTGAATGTGTTGGCTATTAACAGCTAGCTTGGAGGGTCTAGTGTACTCAGAGGTACTTTGGGAAAAAGGGTCTGATGATCTACTTTCAAAAAGGTGCCCACTGGTACCCCTGGGGCACAGTTCTCCTGCCACACATGGGGGTGCCATGAGTCTGGATAACTTATGGCACCAGTGGGCACCAGTGGGCAGAGTAACGTCCCTGGAGATCACACAATGAGGGTCTGGAATCCAGAACCAGGTTGTCTGCTTCGCAGTCTGTTCTGGGGCCTTCTGCTCAGATTCCCACAGGAGGGGCTCAGAGTGACTTTGATGCCAGTTTCCATCCCACCCACCCACCTGCCCACCCACCCGCTCATTCACTTACCCACCCATCCATCCACCAGTCCATCCCCCAATCCACCCACTTACCCACCCACCTACTCATTCACTTACCCACCTATCCATCCACCTACTCATTCACTTACCCACCCATCCATCTACCAATCCACCCATCCACCCACCTACTCATTCACTTACTCACCCATCCATCCACCTACTCATTCACTTACCCACCCATCCATCTACCAATCCATCCACCTACCCATCTACTCATCTACCCACCCACCTACCCATCCACCTACTCATTCACTTACCCACCCACCTACTCATTCACTTATCCACTCATCCAACCACCTATCCACCCACCAATCCATCCACTCATCCAACCACCTATCCACCCACTTACCCACCCATCCATCCTCTAATCCACCCACCTACCCAACCATTCATCTACCCACTCACCTACTCACCTGCACATCCACCAATCCATCCATCCATTCATCTCCTCACCCATCCATCTACCCATCTATTTATCCATCCATCCACCTACCACCTTACCCATCTACCCACCCACCCATTCATCTACCCACCCATCCATCCATCTATCTACCCACCCACCCACCCATTCATCCCCCCCCCCAGCCACCCTACCCATTTACCCACCCACCCATCCATCCATCCATCTCCCTATGGGCCCATTTATCTACCTCAGCCATCCATCCACTTACCCCCTCGTGGAGCCACCCACCAACCCACCACACCTTGTGTGCATGTAGCACTGCGCTGTGCGGATGCCAAGACGCTGAGATAAAGACACTCACTGTCTTTTCAGAGTCAACTGTCAGCTGTGCAGATGGACAAACCCCACAGACAGGATGCTGCAGGGAGCTGAATGCACAGGGAAGTCGGGAGGAGGCCTGGCATCTGGGGATGGGGGGCATTTCAGGCCTGAGGGGTGCTGCTTGCTGGGCACCCTGGGAAGCTGGCCTTGTTTGTGGTGGTCGCCATGGGAGATCATGATGGGTCACAAGCCAGAGGCTGAAAGGAATGGAAAACAGGCTGAGCAGTGTTTGGTGCAGAGGACAGACATGGAGACCATGGAGGCCTCTAACCGCCAGGGGCCGCTGCTGGGAGGCTCAGCTGGATTCTCCCCTCCCCCCCCCCCCCCCCCGGCCCCCTCAGGAAACTCAGGGCTTTAAGTAAGGCCCCATCGAGTGCTAAGACTCAGGTCAGGGCAGCTCCTGACCCTCGTCCATCACAGCGTGGCTCTGACTGCAGTAGGATGGGAGTGTGTTCCAGCTCGTTCCGTCTCAGTGGCGGCAGACAAGCCTGCCTTGCATTCCTGCTCCATGGCCCCAGCCCAGGCGGCATGAGAGGCAGGGGGAGGTGTCCCAGCGGAATGGCCCTGTCTCCAGGGGAGTGGCTTTCCGCAGCCTGGCAGAACTGGTGCTGAGGGCTTCCGCACGGCCAGCTGCATTCAGAGGCCAGCGGCTCGGTGAGGGAGGCACGCCACGGTACTTGGAGCTGAAGATTGCCATCCGTCTGCAGTTTTGAAAGGTGTGAGGTGTTTGAATAATGACTTTCAAAGGCAGCCTCTTCCTTCCATCTCCCCTCCCCTGGTACTAGAGCGCTGCCGATGCTGTGTTTGGCTTTGATGAACAGTTATATTTCAGTTTGAATTCAGAGCACCAGCTCTAGGTGAAGGTGCTGGCTAGGACCTTTCAGCATCTGTGGGCCCCTCATTCCTTGCAGATCTCTGTGTGTCTTGCTATCTGTCTTCTCCTGGGTCTAGGAGGTTCCCAGCACAGCGACCCTGGGTCCAAAACATGTGTTCTGCTCTCAGCTTGTTCTTTTTGGTGGTAGGAGGCGGCTCCTCCTTGTCCTTTGCTTCTGCCTCCCCATTTCCTTCTCTTATTTGTCAGCCCAGCTCCTCCCCCTCGACTCCTCTCTTGCTGCGTCCCTTCTCCCCTGCACTCACAGAGGTCTAAGGTACCTCGTTAGCCACAGAGGTTTCTCTCGATTTCTTTACTTGCTTGTCTCCAAGACTCTCCTTTTTCCCATCCCAGTGTCTCTTTGCCAACGAAGACAGCCATTCCACTGGGATCTTCTCCCAGCAGTGATGGTGGCCCCCAGCCCCTGCTAGGTCACAGGGAGGCTGAGAGCTGCTTGCTGGGAGAGAATTCTTAGATTATTTGGTCAGGATACAGACTGAATAAATATGGTGAAGGATCCAACCCTGGTGCACACCTTTTAAACCATTCAGTATCTCCTTGTTCAGTTTTATTTTATTATTTTTTTTAATTTAAGGTTTTTATTGTGGATTGAGTGAAAGTTTACAGGGCA